ATATACACAGCAGAACATACACCCAAATTAACAGTTTCTACATGTACCATTTAGTATCATTGATCATGCTTAAATTGTGTAAACATTCTGAGTCGTTCGTCCTCCTAGTGATGTATATTGACTGCCTTCTAAGGTTTCTCTCTCATCTTTTGAGTGGCTGTTGTCAGATTGATCCCATATAGATAGTTCTTAAAAGAGCAGAATGCTCAAGGCAGAGAGTTCTTACCAGTTGGTTAGATAATTTTTATGGCAGGTGAAACTGATTAAAGGGAAAATGTAAATAAAATTTTTAGACTCAAATGAAAGTAATTTCATCAGTGCTTAAAAGAATTGAAGGCAGAATATGAAAGACTTTTGATAAGAACAACAAAATCCTAATGATACACTATTGATAAAGGAAAATGTCTCATTTTATCAACAGTACTGTAATTCATATGTAGTGTTAGTTGTTTAAATTAAGTTTATATTCCATTCATGATAAACAAGTTGAAAATTTATCTTAAATATTTTATTAGTTTTATTGATAATTCGCAGTTAATTTTAGGAGAAAGGCATTTAGCATTTTCTTGTAATATTTTTAATAGAAGTCTTGGCATGCTCTGATTCATCAATGCTTAACTAATGAATTCTTGGTGTGGTGCTGTAGGATTAGCACATGACTGTGAACTACAAGTTCTGCAGTTCAAACCTACCCGCTGCTCCTTGGAAACCCTATTCAGGGTCACTGCGTCAAAACTGATACTATAACACTTAACAACAGCAACAACAACAATGTTGATTATACTGATGTGGAACTGTAGGATAAGCAGTGGACTGTAAACCATAAGGTCAGTAGTTCAGACCCACCAGCTGCTCCTCGAAAACCCTGTATACAGGGTCACTATGAGTCAGAATAATTTCTATGGCACTTAACAACAAAAACATTGATTATACAGATTGCCATTAATTCCATGTCAGCTGTATTCATGTTACATATAATGTGCCTGCTCTTTTCCTTGCTTTTAGAATATTGCCATTTATGTGTACTTGGACTAATTGGACTGCTAACTGCAAGGTCCACAGTTCAAACCCACCAATTACTCCCCAGAAACCTTATTACAGGGTCGCTATGCGTCAGACCAACTCAGCCTCACTTAACAACAAACAACAGTTTTAACCGGGAGCCCTGATGGCCCTGTAGGATAAGCACTGAACTGCTAACTATAGGTCTGTATTTCAAACCCACCAGCTGCTCAAAGATGAGGTTTTCTGCTCTTGTAAAGATTTGCAGCCTCAAATAGGGTTTCAATGAGTCAAAATAAAATTAGTGCCAGTGAAACAAGAGTGCATTTTAACTGATGAACCTTTAAAGTGGCTAAGGAGGTTTAATATTCTTGTAAAGAAACAATGGGTTGAAATGGTAAAATAAATTGCAAGAATCATTGAACAATAGGAAGGAAAATGATAGAGCAAACACTTTACCATCAGCTCTTACTGATAGCAATCTAGGAACCTTGGTGGTGCAGTAGTTAAGTGTTGGTCTGTAGTCAAACGGTCAGCAGTTGAAACCCACCAACTCTGCAGGAAAAGGATGCGGCGGTCTGCTTCCCTGAGTCTTTTGAAATCCTATGAGCAATTCCGCTCTGTCTTACAGAATCGCTGTGAATCAGAATCACTTCTACAGCAGTGGGTATTGATAATCTGTAGTCTCAGTCTACATATTTTCTTTTGAAATATTAGCTAATACTGAGCTGTTGTGAATAACATGACAATTAAAATAGTGTTTATCTTATCCTGTTATGTCTATTTGCAAGATCTACAGAGCTGATAACACAATTTAGTAGTGTAGTGGTTACGAGTTGGGCTTCTAACCTCAAGGTTGGAAGTTCGAAACTACCCTGTTCCACGATAGAAAGACTAGACTTTCTGCTCCCATAAAGATCTACAGCCTCAGAACCCTATACAGGGTTGCTATGTGTCAGAACTGACTCCATGGCACATAACCACCACCAAAATAAAAGGAAGGAGCCTTGGTAGTATAATGGATTATGAGCTGGGCTGCTAATCAAAAGGTCAGTAGTTTGAATATAGCAGCTGCTTGGAGAGAGAAAAAGATAAGGGCATTTGCTCCCACAAAGATTTACTGCGCCGGAAGAACTATGTTGTTGTTGTTCAGTGCCTTTGAGAAGGTTCCGATTCATAGCGACCCTGTATTGAGGGGTGGAAAACATCTGGCCCTCGGGCCTTAGATGACCCATGAAATCATTTGGTCTGCCCCTGCCAAGGCACCTGCAGTTCCATCCATCACATTGGTGGTGGTGGTGGTGGTTATGTGCCGTGGAGTTGGCTCCGACTTATAGCGACCCTGTACAGGGTTTCCGAGGCTATAAATCTTTATGGGAGTAGAATGCCTCATCTTTGTCCCGTGGAACAGCAGTAGTTTCGAACTGCTGACCTTGAGATTCGCACCCCAGCCCGATTTGTGACCACTATGCTACCAGAGCTCCTTAGCCATCACATGAAGGGTGAGTTAATGAAACATTTGACCAAATATAGCAAGCTAATTTTTAAGTTGATAATTTTGTATGGTCCATGAATGATGTTATAAATTTCGGCAGAACAAAGGTTCCCCACCCTTGTTGTATAGGGTTTCCAAGTTACAGCTGGTGAGTTTGAACAGCTGAACTTGTGGTCTAGTGCTTATCCTTCAGTGCCACACCAGGACTCTCTCAGAAACCCTACACAGGGTCATTATAAATGGAAACCACCTCTACAGCACAGGAAATGATTTGTCTAAACCCTTACCACCACTACTGTTTCACCCCAGGAATTTGTGCTTCCATTAGATTTTCTATTTTGTTATCTCTTTTCACTTAGACTAATGAATCACCTGTTCAGCAGATTGGCAGTTTGAGCCTACCCAGAGGTAGTACCTCAGAAGAAAGGCCTGCTGATTGAAAAGCCCATGGAGTACAGTTCTACTCTGTCATACATGAGGTTACCAGGGGCAGTTGGTTGAATGGCAACTCCGTTGAGCAGTGCTTTTTCATTATTGGTGAAATTAGTTGTTTATCAACTGGCCATATAAGAAAATTTGTCTTGTCCGTAATATACATATTATGTATCTAAATCTATTTCATCATCTTAAATTCGGTGATTGCTTTTCTTTTCCTTTAGTGCCCAGATAATGCAGTGTATTTTTTCTTGTGTATGTGCCTTTTGTGAACTTACCTTATTGGTAGTCCTTGAGAGCAACTATAATCATGGTTGACTAAGATAACTGTCATTAAACACCAGTCCAGATGAAAAGAAAATTTACAAACTTTGAGGTAAATAGTAGACATAATTAACAACTACACAAACCTGTTAGTTTGTAAAGTTCTTGAATATGTTTGCACATTCCCTTGAAAATTTTAATTACTGTCTATGTTTCATATTTAAATTACTTTTTCCTTTAATACTGAAAGTCAGATTTAAATAAACTTACTTAAAAAAATTTTTTTTGTGTGTGAATTACGTGATTAAAGTACTTGTTGTCTTAGTTTCCTAGAGGTGCCATAAACAAATACCATAGAGTAGGCATTGTTAAAAACAAATTTATTTTCTCACAATTCTGGAGGCTAAAAAAGTCCAAATTAGGGTCTTAGCAATATTATGGGGTTGAGGGCTTTGAAAGGGGAATTTCTCCATGTCTGCCTAATAGCTTCTCTTGGCTGCTGGAAAGGGGCCCTGGTGTACTGTGGGTTAGGCTTTGGGTTACTAACTACCGGGTTAGTGGTTCAAAAACACCAGTCACAGACACTGTCCTCTTAAAAGCTCTGCAATCTCAGAAACTCTACGTTAGAGTTGCTGTGAGTCGGAATTGACTTGATGGTCATGAGTTTGGTTTTGAGGGGAGGTGGTGCAAATAGTTAAGTGCTTAGTTGTTTTTGCCCAAAGTGTAGGCTGAATCAGTTTACATTAAGATTTTTAGCTTACGTAAATTAAGATAAAAATTTGTAGGAATTTGTTTTTTTGAAGATGTTAATTATATTCAGTGTTCTACATGGTATATTTATTGTTTCTTTTGAAAAATATCACTATTTCAAAATGGCGGGCGTGGGAAGCTTGGTGAGCTGTTAAGTCTCACTTAGAAAGTGATGATTCCGTGGTGGTGCAGTAGCTAAGTGTTCAATTTGCTAACTGAAAGATTTGAACCTACCACCCACTCTGTGGGAGAAAGATGTGACAGTTTGCTTCCGTAAAGGCTACAGCCTTGAAAACCTTATTGGACAGTTCTGTTCTGACCTATAAGGTTGCTGTGAGTTAGAATTGACAGAATGGGTTTGGCTTGTTTTTATTATCATCAATATAAACGATGTTTGTCTCTACTGAGAAAATGACACAACTTCCTACCATATCCATTGTTCACCATTGCATGCTTATTTTGTTTTCAGTTTGGTTTTAATAAAACTCCTTGAAACTAAAGAAACTGTCTCATATTTCTGTACCTCCTTGTACAGTGATATTTTGTGGTTCTTAAGGATAATTTGGTAATAGTTGACTTTTAAAGACTACGTTGTGAGCAACCGTTTTAAGTGAATGATGCCTTCTTTTGCATTCATGTTTTAATACCTGCAGATGAGCACAGCTGATGCCTGTTGTAAAAAGAGGTTTAGATTGTTAGACTTTGTCCTACTCTGAATGGACTGATTTATTGACAAACAGTTATATTGAAGTTCCATATTGCATTCAATTTATAACTGCTTACTTTAAAAAAAAAGTTATCTATTTTTCTTACTGAATTTATTGAAAAGTAACTTGTCACACTGTCTTTATTTTCTTGGACTTAATTGCTGACATTTAGAATAAAAGTTTATTTTGAAAGGAATAAGCCCCAAAGAGGAGCAATGACTGTGCTTCATATACAGTTGATTTTTGGTTCTTCCATATTATTCACATTGCCTTAGAGAGGTTCAAATCTCATGCTGTCCTTTGAAGCCAGTGGGCTGCTTCTCATCTGTATTTGTTTTTTTCTTTAGATATTAGGATCAAGGAAGAGGAACCTGATCCTGAAGAGTGGCAGCTCAGTGGTGATTCTACATTGAATACCAATGATTTAACACATTTAAGAGTACAGGTGGTAGATGAAGAAGGGGACCAACAACATCAAGAAGGAAAAAGACTTCGAAGGGTAGCTTGCACCTGTCCCAACTGTAAAGAAGGTGGTGGGAGGTATGCACATATGAAATACACTTTTTTTTTTTTTTTTTTAAATAAGGAGTACTTGATATCATCAACTTAATTTTTGATATACTCCATGCCATGCTACTTAACATGGGAAGCTATTCATTACATGATCATTGTGAATGTGTGTTTGTATGAGTGTAGCAGAAAAGGTTAAAGAACAAAATAAGTAAAATTAAGCACAGTAGATTTAAGTATTGGGCTGCTAATCTCAGGTCAGCAGTTCAAACCCACCATCTGCTCCATGGGAGAAAGATGTGGCTGTCTGCTCTTATAAAGATTTATACTCTCAGAAACCCAAGGAGCAGTTCTTCTCTGTACTGTAGGGTCACTGTGAGTTGGAATCAACTCTATGGCAAAGGGTTTTAAATGTCTTTCTTAAAAACTGAAATTTAGTTTGCAGTTTTTAAAACAGCATTACCAGATGTCATTTTACAGATCATATCAGAACTTAGCATATTTGCCAATCAGCAATGGGATTTACCTAAACATAAATAAAAGATTAATTCTTAGCTTAAAGATGGTAGTAATATAAAGTTAGAAGTTCAGAAATAGTTGCTAAGTACAAGCATTTCCATTTTAAATAAAAATGACTAATAATTTAGTGGTGACTTTTTTTAAAAAGTGGGACTGAAGTATTTCAAGTCTGTTGTAAAAATAAGCATTAGGTAAAATAAGTTGACAGGAATAAACTATAAACAAATTAGTAGTTTAAATGTATGAGAGGTTAAGCTTAACAGTAAAGATATTGAGACTCAGATAATATTTTAAAAACACAATCTTGCCCTATGCTGATTATAAGGACCACCTCAAATAAATTGTCTTAGGAATATTGAAGATAACAGAATGGGAAAATGATTTATAAGATAAATGTTAATAAAAAATTTTGACTAGCAATAGTAACATCAGACAGGGTAGAAATGAAGTAAAAAACATCAAATCAATATAAAGGATATATAGGAGGGCTTCAAAACCTTCACAGGTAAACGTCCATTATCTTTTAATTCCATTTTCCCACTAGCTTTTCAGTGGAAAGCCCTCTCATATTTCTTATAAATATAAACATTCCATCAAGAAGATGTACTAATCATGATGCCATTTTTGTACAGTTTTGAAATGTAGAGCAAAAGTTTGTAAATCATCTTGTTCAATAAACTTTAAAAACATTAACCAAATCCTCTGTTGACCTGAAAAATCTTGGTGTACCTCTCTCAGAAATGCAGTTTTAAGTAGAAAAATAGTAAGGATATACTATTAACACAGTTAACTTTGTCTTTGTATTTATTCTATTAGCTGATTTGCACATCGACTAAGCCCATTTATGTTAATAAAATGGATAGTAACTTACTAACTTTGACAGCTTGTTATATAAATGAGGTATGTTGTTGCTTTTAAGTGTTGTTGAGTCCCTTCTGACTCAGAGCAACCATGTGTAGGGTTTCTGAGGAGCAGCTGATGGGTTTGAACCACCCACCTTGTGGTTAGCAGTTCAGTACTTACTGTACAGTGCCACACCAGGAGTCTATAGTGAAGTATAGAGATGCTGAATGACTTTGAAAGATCACACACAACTGGAATTTGGGCCCAATTTCTTGCTTCAGACTTATACCCACTATACAGTACTACCTCCTGATGGATCTGCTTTTGCATATGATCCTTGTTGTTTTTATTGTTAAGTGCCATCGAGTTGATTCCGACCCATAGCAACCTTGTATAGGGTTTCCGAGGAGCTGCTGGTGAGCCCTTGTACTGACTTTGCAGTCTAGCGCATTAACCCACAGCAGCACACCAGGACTCCATATGATCCTTAGATACTCACGTTTACTGGTAATTAATGCATATGTTAAAATTTCAAATTGTTCATTAAAATATTTGGTCAATTTAAATAGTAAGTATGAAAATATGTGTAGGCAATTTTTCTAAAATTAAGTTATTTTAAAGGGGCTTTTAAAATAGTTTATTAAAGATAAAGCCTGCCTTGTGTTTCACTTACTGGTTCATTAAAAATGAAAATCTTTTCATTTTATGCTCAGAAATACAGGAAGTATTTTTTAAAGTTCTACTTTATTTACTTCAGGATAACAATAGTAATATTTTTCCTAGGTATCCTTCTAGACTATATATGTTTAAAGTAGGATCATCTTATTCTCATTATTTTATGTCTGCTCTTATTTTGGAAATTCTGTGACCCTCTTTTTAAGACTATACAGAATCTGCATCAATTTTTTATAGCTGTATAATCTATTGTATGGATGTATAACATATGTTGTTGAGCATTTAGGCTGCATATTGTTTTCTTTATAATGTTTATGCATTTATCTGGCACATTACTACAAGTTGGCAGAAGTAGAATTGCTGGGTTAAAGGTAATATTCTGTAGAAAAGCTGTGTCTATTTAGACTCCCGCCAGCAATGGATGTTACCTTTTCCTTGGTGGGAAACAGGTGGAAAAGAACCTTTTTAAACCTGACTGATGAAAAATACCTCATTTTTTATTTGCTATATATTTTTTATTCGTGAGGCATGTAACATTTTTTGTATGTCACTTTTTATTTCCTTTGTGAATTGTCTTTATTAAATCTGTTCATTTATGTTAACTCATGTATACAGATTTTTTCCCCCCAGTTGTACATTGCTTTTCAACTTTGTCAGCGATTTGCAAAATGTATTATTTAAAGTTGAGTCTTACCTATCCTAAGGATTATTAGAATACTCACTTTTGTGAGTTCATTTTGGGATAGGTATTTAAAAATCAAGATTAGGTTTCTTAAAAAACAAATGAACTGGTGCTTCTTAAAGTTCATTTGAACAAAATTCAACTTGTATATGCTATAGGTAGAATTGTATCATGGTAATTATTCCATCTAATCAGTAAAAGCAAACATACAGTAAATTTAAAATATTTCATCATGTTCTGCAACAGTGAAGTTGTTGTTAAGTGCCGTCGAGTTGGTTCCGACCCATAGCGACCCTGTACAGGGTTTCCGAGGGTGTAAATCTTTATGGGAGTAGAAAGCCTCACCTTTCTCCCGAGGAGCGGCTGGTAGTTTTGAACCGCTGATCTTAAGGTTCACAGCCCAGTTCGTAAACACTATGCTACCAGAAGTAGGTGTTACTTAAAAAATATATTTAGATATTGATCTTTTCTTCTCAGCCATTTTCTTCAAAACAAAACAGTAGTATTGGGAAGGTAACCTTTTTGAGAACTAAGTTTACTCATTCATCTTTAGAAAACTAAATTGTTGATTCATCTGTTTACCTTTTGAGTAAGGTAAATTTTAAACAGATTGGTTTCATTCTGCTACTTGGTAATTGAGCCAATTTTTACTGAACAGAACCAGTATTCAGAGATGTTGTAATCTAGTGTGGAAGATAAAATATTAAAGTAAAATAAATTCTAAGGCATTGCTATTTCATAGTTTTGTGTGGCTTAAGCATTTATCCCTCATATTTAAGTTATCTTGTGAAATTTGTGTTCTTTCTGTCAGTGTTTCTGTTTGTACCCCATCCCACCCATCTGTGCAAAAGATGGACTGAAGCAAAAGGATTGACTTAGTTTTCATCACCCATATACCCAGATGAGCTTTATTTATTCTGTATTACTCTATCTTGTCATTATTCAGTAATTGGGAGAAAGTTTAGTTACCTAAGAAGAGAAATCTAAAACTGTTTTTCAGGGTTATCTAGTGTAGGTATTGGTGGTGTGGTTAGGTAAGTCATGAGAAAACTTAACGACTAAATCTTTTGCTGCCTGAAATTGGTTGAGAAATTCACTTCAGTTCTCTCCCTTCCTTGACATCACATGCCATCATCCCATACCTAGTTCCTGTCTTATCAGATTTCCTTTTTAAATAGGGACTTGGACTCAGGGATTTCCCCCTAAATTATTTATTTGTGCTTCCCCCCTCTCCATTTTTTTCTTAGTTATCTTATTCTACTTTCAAACAATGACTGTTTCTCTTGTTTCCTTATAATTCATTTGAAAATGTCCTTCCCCAGCTTTTGGTTCTTTGAGAACCTAGATTTGTTGTTGTAATCAGTCATATTCTTGTGCTCTGAGCTAGATTTTGCTTAGTTTGTGAAGTGTCACAACTTTGAGTTGATAAACGCATATTGATAACACCTGAGGGGCAGACTGAGCGGAAAAGTCATTGAGTTCAAGAGTGTATTAAATGGGTTGCTGTAAAATTGCTATGGTGAATATAATGAGTAAAATTGGTTTGTACACCAGTAACTGCAAACATTGCTCTTTTTCTTAGGGCTGTTTAAGAATAAAATAAATCAAAAAAGCTAACTTAAATGGAAATATTGACTCGAGTTATGACTTTGGCATTGCAAGTGAGCCAGAAAAATTTGTTTCACTCAGCTCAGCTCTTGGAAGAGAGTTTGAAGAGAAATTGGGGGTGGACTGGAGCAGAAACTAGAATTGTTAGTTTATGACATCCTTGCCCGTGAGACAACAGCATGACTCCTCCTTGTCTTTACTTATGCTGTTCCTCTGCCTGGAATGCCTTCCCTCCTTTCTATCTAAATCCTACCCACCTTCTCCACGAAGCCTTCTTAACTACTGGAGCCCACATTGATGCCTCCCAGTTCAGAACACCTATGGCACCTAACAGTCAGCACTGCATCGTTTAGCACTGTTTGTCCTATGGCAATTTCACATGCTACTGAGTGTGAGTACATTAAACTATAAAATGTGGGGAGGTAATGCATTTTTCCAGTAAAGTCAGAAAAACAAGAACTGTTTTATATACAGAAAGACTTGCAAGCTGTGGGTGTGTATGAAACACCGAGATTGGGGGAGGGGCTGGGAGCTTAACTGTACTCTTAAAAACTCTGAAAAAACTTTACAAAGTTTATACAATATGATTTTGATTGTCCATGCATAGAAAAGATTCATTTTATTCATTAATTTAACTAAACTTTTTTTTTTAAGCCTCAGAAATAACATTTTGTGTAGCTAGCTGTTTAATACTATTTGAATCAAAATTTTTTTCTTCCTGCTTAGACTGGTATCTCCTGTAACCCAACATCTGAACACCTTATTCTCAAAATCTGTTTTTATTATCAAGAACTGAAATAGAACAAATGCCTGATACGGGGATATGGAGAAAACGGTTTAATTATACACACAGTTTTGAAGTGGTTCCAGATATCTCATATGTATAATTTTGAGTTTCTTTGCACAGTTAATATGAAACAAATTTTAATGGTATACATAATTATGATTTATACTTATTTTGTATTATATTAAAGGAGCTAAGGCCATAGCTTTAGCTAGATTATTTTTTCTTTTACTTTATCCAAATCAGTATATAGTTTAGAGGTAAGTCATACAAATATGCAAATAAATATGCATATGTCGTGTTAACTTACAGTCTGTTTAAGATGCTTATCTACCTTTAATTGTGCTCATGATTAGTTAATGCATTCAATCTTTGCTTTATTTTTAATTAGCTGACTTCATGACTTTTGAATGAAGATAATTCAACTTCCCACACACCTAACTTAGTTGGATTGTCCTTACGCATAGAATTTGTGAATGGTTCTGATTGGCTAGTAAATAACTTTATTATATATATA